GAGTTTCATTCTCAAAAAATTCATTCCGCGAATCAAACGAACTCAAAAGACTCTGATATTCAAGAACAAGTTCAAAATGGAAGTATTACTGAGGTGGTCTGGTTCGTCAGTAACAATTTGAGTGATTCTCCAACAGATACAGATGATCATAGAAATTTATTTTGGAGAAGATTTGCACATGAACACCGCAGCAATCTGATATAATCTGAAGAACAATTAAATAAAGATTTTCTTTTTTTTTCTTTCCCAGAAAACAATTAAATAAAGAATGTAGTTGCGTGTGGTTTTCGAACGTACGTGTCGTTTTGTTTATTGGGGCTTGGGCATACGAGGTTAAGTTTCATATTAAATAATGGAACAGTTAAATACAAGAATTAGGCACAAGATCAACATGCTTAATTAAGTCTGTCAGAATCCAAAAATAAATAAATATATTAAGTCTGTCAGTTCAAGAGACATATGTGTACAAACTAATAAATTAGTTTAACAAATGCAATGATTCCCACTAAAATATATTTAATAAAACTTCAAAACAAATAGATTAACCAAGTTGTGCCCGGTTGGCTTTTGAATTCTGAATCCACCATTGTTCCACCCTATGCATGATAAGCTTCCGAACAAAAAGTAACGGATTAGATGATGAGTTATGAATTATTAGAAAATGTCGAGAAAAATTAGTTTTCAGTAACGAATTTTTTTTTTTATAATTTGATACACAAAATGAAGTTAAATATCATGAAAAATATACGTAACAATATTCATGCTTGTTTATGTTAGGCACATAAACCACTCATTCTGATTCGTTTCATGACCGAAAATGTCAATTTATTAAGTTCTCTAAGTAATTCCGATCGTTGGTTCTTGGGTGATGGAGTTTTTCTAAATGAAAACCATTTATCTGATAAGGGAGCGAGTGAGGGGAGAAAAGGGGACACATTAAAAGACGAAACAGGGAAAAGATATAATCTGGGCCCTAAAGCGTACGTTATGCATGTGCAGTTTAAAAGCTTTGCTGATCCGTCCTTTTTAACCAATTTCTAAATATTAAGAGAATTTTCATGTATTTGTATCCTTCACTATCGGCCCTAGTCTAGATATGTCTGTGTGTGTGAAACAGAGACAATACTGTGTGTGGTTTTATGCATGTCAGATCTATAGTGTCGACGTTTTACCTGAATTTGCATCTTCCTGCCTGACTGAATATAGTTTGGTCATCTTCTTGGCGACTTGTTGGTCCATATCTAGAACTAGAACTAGAGCCAGAATTAACATAAAATAGATCTTGATATGATCTTGTTTTTCGTACATTTAACCCATACAGACTGCAAAAGTAAGTTTGTGCAATAATGAGTTAACTTTTGTAAATTCAAGGAACAAATAATTGCACGGGAGACGGTGGAAAACAAAGGGTGGAGAGACCACAAAAAGTCTGGTAGAAAGATAAAGAGAGAGAAGCATCGTATACATGTCTCAGTGCTTGTCTCGGCTTTTAAAGTTAAAATTGTACATTCAATCCAACAACCTCATACATAGAATAAAATCAGAAAAATTATTTAATCATCTAACTGTTATCACTTAATAGACAAATATTAATGTTTCTGATTAAACATTGAATTATTACATTGTTAATTATATAGCTAAACAATTTCCTTTAATTGCTTTTTTACAAGAATGATCCTTAAATAATGATCTTGAGAATGAACGATTTCAATTATCATAAAGCTTTGCATAATGAAAAAATAAGTGGGCAAAGAGATCTATAGCGTTCCCCAAGCACACATTTGTATCATGTCAAAAGTAGTTTCATGAATTGAGGTGTTGTGCCTCATCTTGCGAGAGCTTGCTCTTGTGGCTTGGTCATGGTAGATCCACTGCTCATTGGTGCGTTGAGGTTTTGGAGTAACTAGATGACGCTCTCTATGTCATGTCCCGAAGTAAGATTAGCGGCGGTTGATTTTCCTTTTATCGGCTTTGTTTTAGCTTTTTTATTTTGGTTTAGTTTGTTCAATAAAATCCAGAAACTCTATGAGTTTTCGGTATTTTTTTTTTCTCATTATTCAAAAAACTCGGTTGAATTTGCTGGGTGTTTTTAGTCTCTTCAGGAGAATCATGCCAGTTAGTGACTAATTTTTGTCATTGATGTCATTTGACCAGATTCGGGGAAATTGTGGCAGTTGAAAGGGGTTATAGAAAAGTTATTTTCAACTTTTCTATTAGCTTAGGTCACTGGAGAAGTTTTACATATACGTGTGTCATATTGTAATTGGGATGGATTCATTTACAGTATGTATCCTTTATTTATTTATTATTATTATGTCATATTGTAATTGGGATCTTTTATGTCAACAGTATAATCATAGACATCAACATAACATCTAAAGTACCAATCCCAAGAGGGCAACAAACTAACATGTTAAAGACAAAACTAAAGCAGACAAAAGCTACACTAAAACTACTAGCCCACATCACCACAATTAACCATAAGTCCAAATAAAGCCTACATAACCAACATAACAGAAACTCTAAACAAACCCATAATCCTAAAGGAACCCTACCACCACCAACACTTGAAGAAGTGTCATCGCGGGCACACTCACCATCGCATCCGTAACAGATGTGAGGAAAACATGGTTTCCAGTGATGTACCTACACATAACAATGAACAAATAAACGAAAACAACTACCTTGATAAAGAACAATTGGGTGATTTACAGCAACCTCTGTCGAAGACGATGTAGACCCAAATTTAGAGAATATGAGCAGTGTTAGAGAGTGGGTTTTGGGAGAATGATTAGTTTGAGAATGACTAAAATGGGTGATGGGGAACTTCAATCTGAGCATGCTAAGAATAAATCACCACAAAAGGCTTTTTATTCAAAACGCCCTAGTAGACTTATTCACTAACCCATAAGAAAAATGTGAGGAGAGAGGAGGAGAGGAGGGGCAATGACGCTTCTTCCTCATCCCCCTTCTATGGAGTTTTTCTTTGGGACTCACAAAAGGAGAGAGCAGTTAGGGTTCCTAAACAAAGATAAACTTTAATTTCATCAGAGCATCCACATTGAGGTCCCTAAACCACCACCTTAGACAAATTTTAGAGAGGAATTGAAAAAATTCAACTCCAACCATGCTTCCCTATCCACCTCTTAAAATGGGGATAGATGCCCCTAAATATGAGGAGAGATTCTAGTGGCTCCATATAATTTAACGTTGCTTTGTTTTATGCATATTTTAAACTTTTAATTAATGCTAATTATTTTATTTTTATATTTGTTATATAGAAATGGCTCTTATTTTGTTTAATAAATAAAATTTGATGTATGCAAAAATCGCTATGCTCCATGCATATAGGGTTGGCATCTCATCTGAAAAATCAGCGTACCGACCGTACCGTACCAACAATTTGGTTTGGTTTGGTTTTTTTTTTTTGGTTAATTTAAAAAAAAAAATCCGTATCGAAGTTTTTTGTTAAAATATTTTGCATTTGTCATGGTGCTATATTCTATAGACGTTTCATTTGTTTTATTTAAGAACCCAAATACAAATATTAATATATAGAAGTATACTAAACATAGAGTATATATTCCTTGGCTAATATGCTTGTTAATAATAGTTCATACATATATTCAGCTTTGTAGCTATAGATGTTTATCTATGTTATTTTTTTTTTTAAAGATTGAATTATTATCTAAAATTACATGTAGGATGACTAATAATGCCTAGAGGGAGGTGAATAGGCCAATTTAAATTATAATCAATAAATAAAAATAAACTTTAGTAGTAGGATTGAGATATGGAGACTAAGAAAAAGAAGAAGAATAAAAAAAATAAAAATGAGGATACATTGGGAATGCATGTACACGTGTCTAGCAAGTATCGTGAGAATCACTTTAGAGCGATTGTGAATAGCATTCCTCATGGTAAAATAAAAGGGAATCAAGAAAGTAAGACTTTGATAATCACACAATTAAAAACTACTTTTTATTCAACAGGATCATTTCCAATTACCAACGTGATTTTCAATAAAAAAATGCTTGAGAGACAAAAATAATTTAATAATAAAAGAAAACAAGAAATAAACAAAATATATTGAAAAACATGCCTAAATGAGATGTACTCCTAAAGGGATTCTAATTTATTAAAATCAAAGAAGATCAAGGAAATAAAATCATATTAGATTCCAATAAACGTTTCCATTATGAGTACATGATTCTAAAATTCGGGGATTGCTGAGTTGTTTCAATCTTGTAGTTTCTGGAAATCAAAGACGACAATTTTGCTTTAACCTTCTAGCTAAATGACACTTCCAAACTTATACTAAGTTATAGGAAATGCAAACATAATTTCATACTAACATTATCTCTGGTAAAGAAGGGATTCTTGAATTTGACATATCTTTGTCTATTGGACTCTTTCTTGCAACTAGCATTAGTAATAAATAATTTTTTTTTTTTCTGAAGAGTTTTTGTTAAACGATACTAGAGTTTTTGTTAAATGATATTATCGGCCTACTAAATTAATCCGAACCAAATAAGTGGTTAACTGATTCGAATAATTAAAGGTTCTAATGGTTGATTAATGGAAGAGAAATTGATCAACCAAAAATTTTAGTTTGATTAACGAAAGAGCTTTCTACCATTCCAAACCTATCCACGCTCGGATAATTCCACCGTTCCAAACATATCCACGCTCAAGATAATGCATGTAAGAGAGACCCCGCCAATAAGTCACTAAGCCTCTCCCTTTCATTCCACGTGCTAGTGATGCCCAATAGTGACTCTACCATACAACCCTCTTACGGCTATTGCCTATTAGGCTAATTTTTCGACCCAAATTAATTCTAAAATATTTATTGGCCTGGGCCGATTGAATTATAAAATATTTTTAGGGCTGAACCAATTGAATTGAATCTGAACCCCAGCAACACCACCAAACTTAAACCCCACATCACACTCTCACACTGCTCACTTTAACTAATATAAACACCCCTCCCACCCCAACCTTTTCTAACGCCTTTAGTCCTCTCTCTCTCTCTCCCTCCCATGCATACCTTTTCTACCCTCTTCACTGCCAAACTATTTATCGATTTGTGTCCACTAAATTAGACACTCATTTTCCCCACAAACTTTGGTCTCACTACACTCTCTCTCTCTCTCTCTCTCTCTCTCAGATATTCGTACACATATTCATACAGATTCTATGGAAGAGCTAATAATCTCTCCCTCTTCATCCTCTTCATTAGTATCTTTACCACAAGAAACCTCACCATCCCTACAACAAAGGCTTCAGTTTATTGTCCAGTCTCAGCCAGACTGGTGGTCGTACGCGATTTTTTGGCAAACCTCGACCGACCACCAGGACAATGGCCGTCTCCTTCTGACATGGGGAGACGGCCATTTCCAAGGCTCCAAAGACCCCTCCGCCAAACACCACAACAACCCCTATGGGATTCTCTCAGAAAGAAGGAAAATCCTCAAGGGCATTCAATCTCTCATCAACGACAACAACCCAGATCATCATCAAGACAGCATCATGGATCACATGGGCTTGGACGCCGACGTCTCCGACGGCGAGTGGTTCTACGTCATGTCGTTGGCTCGATCTTTCTCCATTGGCGACAGCGCCATTAGCGCTAGTGTTCCCGGCAAGGCCTTCAGCTCCGGCTCTGTGGTGTGGCTCACTGGCGCCCATGAGCTCCAATTCTACAACTGCGACAGAGCCAAAGAGGCCCAAATGCATGGCTTTCAAACCCTGGTCTGCATCCCAACCCCCACCGGCGTTCTCGAAATGGGTTCTTCAGATTCGATCAGAGAAAACTGGAGCCTGGTCCAGCAGGCCAAGTCGTTATTCCGATCGGACTTCATCTGCTCGGTAGCAGACCAACCCGACCCGGAAACCAGATCCCCCATCGACTTCATAAACCGAAACTTCTCTTTCGCCGATATCGGAATCATCGCCGGCGTAGAAGAAGAGGAGGACGACAAGAAGGAAGTGGCGCTGGACTTGACGATGATGAAGAGGAAGGGTGGAAACCCGGGAACGGGTCTGTTCCCGGATCCAAACCCGAACCCGAAGCCAGACTACTCGGACTCCGACGGCCCGAAACGGACACCGAAAAAGCGGGGCCGAAAACCGGGTCTGGGCCGCGACACGCCGTTGAACCATGTGGAGGCGGAGCGGCAGCGGCGGGAGAAACTGAACCACCGGTTCTACGCACTGCGGGCGGTGGTCCCCAACGTGTCGAGAATGGACAAGGCGTCGCTGCTATCCGACGCCGTTTCTTATATCAACGAGCTGAAGACGAAGGTGGACGAATTGGAGTCGCAGGTACAGAGAGAGTCAAAGAAAGTCAAGGTCGAAACAGGAGATAATCTGGACATCCAGAGCACCACCACGTCCGTGGAGCAGATCGCGAAGCCCCCCAGTTCGTCTGCGAATGGGTCTGGGCTCGAAGTGGAGGTGAAGATTGTGGGCACCGACGCCATGATTAGGGTGCAGTCAGAGAATGTGAACTACCCATCCGCCAGATTAATGGCGGCGCTGCGGGACTTGGAGTTGCAGATCCACCATGCGAGCTTGTCTTGCATCAACGAGCTCATGCTTCAAGATATTGTGGTGAAGGTTCCAGAAAACATGAGAAGCGAAGACAGCCTCAAATCTGCTCTTCTTAGAATATTAGATCAGAACTAAAAAGCAGGACCGACGGATCGTTCAAGGCAATGTGTGTGTCCGCACATGGTCGATCTTTGAATTGGGTAAACCTTGATTTTCAGTTTGCCAAGTTTGAATTTATTTATTTATCTCTGTATTAATAAATAATTGAAGTTCCTTATTGATTTTTTTTTAAATTTGTTGTGTTTTGTAAGATATGTAATTAATTATGGAGATAAATATTTTTGTATGAACCGTTGGTATTTTTCATTTTGGAAGTGTCATTAATAGTAACGTGTTCCCCATGTTTATGGCACAGTGGGGACTTTAGGAGCAAAGACAGTCCAACCATAGTTGGGTGAATCAAATGAATCCAGGGATGAGAGATATTTTATGCACGTTCCTAAATGGGACTGACAAGTGGGGGTGTCTAATAAACGAGGCTCGAAAGGAAAAGGTAGAATCGTCACTGTCGGAAAGGACAGTTGCTTACGCGCGCATAATTTCTCTCAATTGTTGTGCATCAGAAACCTCCTTGCAACGCATCAACAGTACCGCTACTTATAAACGCGCGATCAAGACGACTGTTGTTAGCATTTCTCAGAATTTATAAAAGGACATATTTTTTCTGGTTTTTACAGGGGTGTGATTAATTTTGATTTATTGGCCTGAAGTGTACCACTCGTGCTTCTTCTTTTGTGGACGAAATGAAATGGAATATCAACTGCGGATGTGTTTTGGGGGTCCTCGGACATGAGAATCTAGGACCCACCTACCACCACTACAAAATACTATTAAACAAAGAAAACAAAACACACTGGGAAAATGTGCTTTTTATGCGTCTATATATTTTTTAATGGATTTCTTTTTCGGTGGTAACGTGCGATGCAGGTTGAAACCTAAGTGGATTAGAAAAAAAAAGAAAAGAAAAGCGATGCGGGTTGTGGATTCTTATTGGATAGTGTTTGCTTGATTCCTTGCGTATAAAAACAAAGATGGCAAAGATTCAATCGATGAGAAAATGAAGGAAAGCGAGAGCCACCACTATTGCTTTGTGTTTTTGTTCTTGTGTGCTTTCTTTATCGGGCTTCGGTTCGTCTTCTGACTTTTTGGGTTTAACCCTAAAGCGGTTGGCTGAAGGGAGTTCATTTCCTTCAAATATAGGATGTTAATTAAGAAAGACTTTTCTAGAAGAAGGGGATACCAATGTGGTATTGCCTAAATGAACTCTAATGCTAACGTCATATAAATTTTTCAGCAGACTTTTCCCTAGTATAAGAAAATTGTGTCTCTCATTGACATGTCTTCATAGGCAGAAAAAAACTTGTGTAAAATATGGATATTATTGTTTTGTTCTTTTCGGCCAATCACGTTATGTTAAGTGAAAAAGTTATCATGCGTGACATAGTGTGATTGGCCGAGAATAACCAAACAGTGCTATTTCCGTTTCACACAAGTGTTTCTCCTTAATAGGATGTTAAGTTTGATGAATTCGAGATACCAATTTATTTATTTATTTATATAAACATGGTTGAAAGTCTAATCTACTATAAATTAATCAATCTGCAGAGAGATTCAAAATGAAGTACAAGGAAGCGCAACTCACTGCGATAATCAACTAGCATGACTCAGATTTTACTTTTTTTTTTTAATTACCTAAGCATGACTCACGTTTACATTATCCCAGCTTTTTAGATTCCAAAAGATGTGGCAACTTGTCATTAGGGCCACTGAAAACTTTAACCAAAAGGTGGAATAAATTGTTGGTTACTTTTGGTCTTTCTAATTCGTGTAACTTTCAAGTTGATTCCTCGATTGGGCTGAATTGGTGTTTTGGATTCTAAGTGAGTGATATTAGGCCCAGAGTGTTGGTATACCCCTACTTGTGGACCTGGAAAATAATCTTTCACCCAAAAAGAAATATTAGGCCTTGTTTGTAACATTTTTTAAGAATGTTTTCGGATAATATTATGAGAATGAAAACGAGAAAATGAATTTGTATTTTCAAGATTCAAAAATGTGTCTGGTAGATTAATTGGAAAACATATTGAGAAAATAAAAATAGTGAAAACATGTATGGTAGGACAATTTGATAATAATATTTTATGAGTTATTTTTCAAGTATATTTTTTGCTAATTTCAGTCCTAATTTTTTTTTATTTAAAATTTTTTGATATTTTAAAGCCTAAATTTATTACAAACAATAAAAAATGTATACTTTGAGAATAATAATGTATAATTAAAATAATAAAAAATTCTAATTTTAGAAAAACCTAGATAATAAAATAATATTATCTTTAGTTTAAAATAAATATGAAATTGAATAATATATGATGGTTTTATCAAACCAACCAAAAAAAATTGAAAAAAGAAAGCAATCAGACCAATACATTGGGTAGAAAATGAAAACAATCATTTGGTGTTTTCAGTTTTTGTGCATGAGGTTGAATTTGTTTTCATAAAACAATTACAGGGAAATGAAAACGACATACCAAACGCGTTTTCAGTAGAAAATGAAAACGGGGCCTTGAAAACGTTACTGAACGGACCCTTATGTATCTCATTTTTTTTTATACAAGAAGTAGTCTAAGGGGGTGTATCCAATCGGATCCCGAGCCTCTGTATTTAGAGACTACACATTTACTTGTATTTCACTAAATCTAAACCGTTATAATAATCTAGCCCCTTAGAATGTGACACAACACCAAGTTTTTTTTCCCTTCACTAAACAGACGTTACGTTTTATTTGTGGTTAACTAAACTCTCCTTTAGAGCATGTTTATTTTTTTCTCTTCGCTCTATGTAATCTTCTTATTTCTCACTTATTCTGCTCTCTCTCTTCTCCCGGATTCAATAAACAATTTCCCATGGAATTAATATTCAAATCCAAATGAAATGGAAAAACCTCAAAAATTCTTATCACAATCCAGCCTCTTATGAATAGATAATTTCTTTGAGGACAAAATAAAGACAGATTCATTACAATCTAATTATGAGGGGAAGGGAGGAGATAACTGCATAAAAGAACAACAAAAAAAACTCTATTTCTCCAGAAGATGCATGAAACAACACATGCGTGGTGGAAAAAAAACAAAAAAATATTTTTTACTTGATTAGGTTTGAAGATTCATACAATCAGAAAACGCATCATAATCAATGTCATGATGCGAAACGCGTATGCGTTAGCCTATAATTTTATAATCTTCAAAGGTCGCGACTTGTCTTCCTCATAGGCCTTGCACTCGGTAACTCGCTTATCAGTTTTACTCACCAATGCAAAACTCTCGGTGGAAGAAATGTAAAGTGGTTTGAATGAAGAAGAGAGTGAGTGGTTCACACTTTGTTGGGCATTCTGAAAACTGGGTAGTGAAAAAGACCGAGCCTTTATCGAACACCTTTGGTTCAAGAACTCTGAGGTAGATTGAAACTCGTCTAAACTATGAGGTAGATCAAAAAAATTTGGTTCAAGAACTCTGAGGCAAATCAAAAAACTTGATGAGTTGTCAGCTAAGGCAGATCGAAACTCGTCTGCCTTAGCCAAGTAATAAAAAAATTACTCGGTTGGGTTTTCCATTGAACCCAAAAAAGGAGGGGGCATCAATCAAGCAAGGAGAAAAGGAAGACAACCAAAACGTGATAAAGAAAAAGCAACAGGACGAGAGGGAAACCTGAAAGGAGAGAAAAAAAACCTCATAACTATGCTAAATGGTCTAGCCTACATATGCTATGTATCTTATTTTTAGAACAAATAAAGTTTACAATATCTTTAATTCACCGAACAAAAAATATAAGAGAGTAAATGATAAGAGCATCTTCAACTGATATGTCAAATTGTCACATGAACATGAAATGACAAAAATTGAAGGTTAAAGTTGCTCTAACCAAGTAGTAAAATCCTACATGGATTTGAAGGTTGAAAGAGATATGTCAAAAATAACATATCCAAAAGCTTGATGTCAAATATTATTTTAATATTTTTTTAGTCATGGACTTGTCACGTCCCAGACTCGGGGGTCGATGGAAACCCCCCCGCTCGGTGCGTGAGAAAATAAAAAGTAAAATAGAATAAAAAGAAAGCCAAAATATAAAATAAACTTTTCTTATAAAAATAACTCCCAAAATCTTACAACTTTACAATTAATAAATAAAGCTCTATCACTCTAATCTAATTCAGCCTCAACTAGTTTAGTCTTTGTCTTGCCCACTAATTCATATGAAAAATTAAACAGGGTGAGGGGTGAGCAACCACCGCTCAGTAGGGACATGAGACCTTACCACAGTAGATTGATAGAACTAAATTAAGTGACATGCAATCACACAACGAAATATCACATTAATAATATTAATGCAAGAATGAGCTTCAATTCTACTCTCGTTAATTCAAATAACTGGACAAGCAGACCTGCACGTCCCATACCATGCTTATACCACTTGGTCCCAAATGCCCATTTATATGAACTAACACTTATCTCAATCATCCCATAATTTCCCCTTTTGTTAGTCATTTTGTCTAACTCCTTGTCACCAGTCCCAAATCACCCAATAAAAATCATGTGCACTGTGGGATCCTTGAGACCTGGTACCTGCCAACAGTTAGACTCAACTACACAAAAGACTATTTCCATTCCCCTCTTTTCCCATCATTATTTTCTCAACCCAAGAACTCCAAATAATTTCCATGACATGATATAGTTCTTCTTTTCACATATCAATGTAATAATTTAAATATCACCAATGTACATATAATCATGCCAACATTAATTAAATAATTAACAACACGTAAACACCCAATATCAAGAACATCCATCAAATTATAATATCACGCATAATATAGTGCTCACGAAATTTAATTAAATTAATCCCCGTAAAGGGCCCCCAAGAAATCCCTACCTTGATTCCAAAGCATTGCTCAAAGTTAAGAAAATACGAGCTAAGCCCTTATCTCCTCCAAGAATTTTATCATCTCTCTCTCTGTTCATTTGCTATGCACATAATGTCCTATATATATAAAGAAGAGGTCGGCAATAAGTCCTTTCCTATTGGATGGTGTTGTGGCGGTTTTGTATACTTACCATTCAAATAATATTTATGTGGTCTAGCTTTGCAGATAAGGTAGTTTCCAATTCCTCAAATCCTAAACAACTCTTCTTCGTGAATTGACAAAGCTAGTACATAGCCATGCTTACTTAGCATTTGTTTTTCTTTGACACGTAACTACACTAATTAACAATGACTATTTTACTCCTGCATATCCATATATAATAGAATAGGATATGTAATACACATATATAATAAAATAATATATATATATATATATATAATAGAATAATATATGTAATAAAATAAGATATAAATATTTATTAGTACATAAGACAATATATATATTTAACCAAGATAAGCAATTATGTAACAACCTGATCCTTAATTAATTTTTAATTATTATTTTATTCTTGAAAAAGACTATTTTGCCCATGGAATATTTTAACGAGTATAAAAGTTGACCTTTTGACCGGGAAGGAATTTGAAAATTTTGATTGGACCGCTATGTAGAGCACGTCGAAACGAGTTCTTAGACACATAATGGGTTCGAATCGGAGTTGTAACTAAAAAGTGGCGATAAAGAAATTAGTCCGGTGGCAAACTTGTAAATATTTCAAAGTTGGTTTTTAGAAAACCAGAACATCTCTTTTTACTCTCCCGACACGCCTGTTATTGATGAGCCCCAAATCTGATAAGCCCAAATTCCCCAAATATTCTCTTCATTCAACACGTAAGTTCCATAAACCCATCATAATCTCAAAAACCGTCAGAACCTCCTCAAGACATACTGATCTGTTCACAGGTCCAAAGCATCAACTTCCTGAGCTCGAAACGAAATAGTTCCTTCTTCAAACTTGTTCGTCTGCCTCATGAGTCGAACATATCCGAAAATTAGCCCAGTCGGAGAAATATAAACACCTCAAACCCCAGTTGGAGTATGAACAGCTCATCTCTGTCTGATACTCTGTGTTAAGCACGGATTTCTCTTTGCATGCGGGTTTCTGTTGCGATTCTTACCTCTATTCCTTCATAACAATTGTTTCTGAGTGTTAAGCACGGATTTCTCTTTGCATGCGAGTTTCTGTTGCGATTTTCATCTCTATTCCTTCAGGACAATTGTTTCTGAGGTCGACATCTACAACATATCCAAATTCCAAGGCAAACGGAGATTTCTATCTACCTTAAATCGTGTTCAAGGTGAGACTAGTCTTCACTTTCATTCTGTTTGCTGGTTTCACTCTAGTGTGCCCTTATTCACTCTTGTATGTGGCCTTCCTTTGATCTATTGGCTTCGTTCCTTTCATTAAAGTTGTTTATATATGGCTTGGCTATAATCTGTAAAAAGTGGAGCTTAATCTAAGAAGTGTAGTTATCTCAAAGTGTGATGAAGTGTCGCCTGCTTATTCCTGTCTGCTGCATTGATGTAGGCTCGAATTCTTTCTTGTGTGTCGATTTCTATTGATCATTCGACAACAATTTCTTCATACAGGTTGTTCCTTAGTTATAGAACTATGAAATATCCAAAATTCACAGCAATTGTAGTTCTATAACCATCTGAAACCTTGTTTAAGGGTAGTAAGTCCTCTAGTCTGCTGTTTAAATTCTACAGCACCTTACTCACGATTTCCCTTGCTCAGATGACCAAGGTTTCTTCTTGAAAGTTGTTCAGTTTCCTGTTCTCTACAACATATCTAGAAATAGTGGTTATACATTAAGTTTAAACCTCTCGGACATAGTATAACTGAAACAAACTCCTCTCTTGTTGTTAAGTGTTATTTGGGAGTTTTACTCCTATGGGGGGGGGGACCTGCTTTGTGCATTGCAGAAAGATTCAAAGGATTGTGGTACACCGGTTCAGCGTACTCGATAGGATTGGTCTTAAACTAATTACACGCACTTCTAGAAGCCGGGGGTCAAGGCTTTAAATTATATAATTAAATTATTGTGTTGAGTAATTTTATTAATTAAATATTTATGATGGCTTAATTAGGTACTCGGGTATCAGCTGATCCACAGGAGGGACCCTCAAAGGGTCAGAGCAGCTCGAACGCACAGTGAGTGGACTTTTGTTTTATAAATGGATTTTATGTTATTAAAGTTTCAATATTTGATCTTGAAGGATTTATCTATGGCTATTACTTTCTGAGCAGGAATAATGAAATTATATATATATGTTCTCGATTATATGTTATTATATTTAAATGCAAATGGCTTGGAAAGTAAGAAATGAGGTATTAACCATATTGAATGATTGGTTGAGGAATAAAATGGAAATTTCCAGGAAGGGCATGTATTTTGTTTTTAAACCACTATAGGTACCCAAAAATGTTGCATTCGGATAAATTGTTGCCTTCGATTATAATGATGTCCAAGGACATCCCAGTTGCCTTTGGATGAGTCAGTGTGTGTTTGACAATTGCCCACAAGTTCGGGGACGCTCAAACATTGTGGTGCTAGGAATGTGGCTCGGGTGGACCAAGTGTCCTCTGAGTCTTGCGAGGAATGCGGCTCGAGTAACTTTATGCTACCGAGACCTACGAGGACGTGCCACAAATTGTGACACGAGGAATTGACGGAAATTATGGAATTGACGGATTTATGATGGGTTCACCTAGGTGGAAGGAAATTGTTTCCCTTTATTAATCTAAGATATTTTGTTAATGTTTCACTGAATATATGCTCAGCTATATATATGAGGATTTGCATGCCTGAATTTTATACGGATATTGAACATGGATATGATTAAATTTTCTAAATGTTTTAACAGAGGGGTTAGTATGTTGATACCCTATGTTCTAAAACTTTATTTTTGTCCATTCACGTTTTTCAATGTTTTGCGCCCCCAGACAGTAGTCGTGTACGGGGACGTCACCACAGGGCCGTCACTTTCCTCTATCCATCTCCTCCGCTACGTAGGAGTTCTTTTTGTA